TTTGATGTAAAATGTTTTTAGGATTATCTCAAAATATATTTTTATATCTAACTATAAAATTTTAAATTTAAAAAATGATTAAAATCAAGTAGATCTATAAACGTATGAAAATCTTGCAAATGGACGGTGTAGATAATATATTGTAAAATGCATTATTTTTGAGACTTAAAATCTTATAGTCATACATCTCGATGTCGAGATGATAAATCAAAGGATTTTTGAACATTAAAACGACCTTTTTCGATGGATTTTTGAGGTGCATCTGTAGTTCTACATTATAAAATTACATCCATATATAAGATTTTTCCATAATAATATAGTATTATTTTTAGAAGTATAATTTAGTTAAGAACAACTTATGTGACACATGTGTGGCCATAAGGCTACACACACATACCAATATATCTCACTTGTTTGTGATGGTTAAATACCTTGATATGCCAAAATGTTTGCTCCATTTAAGGATTTGCCTTTTACAGGCATATCCTCGTCACGAAGCTTTTCACACGAATGTCGTTGTATACCATGACCAAAAACTCATATAGCTAGTTTTATCATGGATTTTTCATACTACCATAGTTTTTCTCTCATGACCTAAACATCAAAAGATTTAGATGTTCATAAGTCTCATTAAATTTATAGGCTTTGTCAAAAAGTCTGCAATCATAGTGACTGATGGTAAGTAATTTATTTTACTACATGCTCTATTTTTTAATTATGGAATGACGGCCTAATTATATAAAAAATAATAAAAATTAAAGGGGTAGTCGCCTATATCCAGCTTCAAATTCTTAATAACGTGCATAATCCTAATGGCACATGTAGTAGTATTGCCTGAATCCATATACTCGGTCTCCATAGTACACCGAGCTACACAACCTTGTTTCTTGCTTTATTAAAAAATGCATATACCTCCAAAGAGGAACACATATTTAGAAGTTGATTTTCTATCATCTAGGTCTCTTGCAAAGTCTACATCAGGATACCCACTAACCTCTAAATTAATAGCTTTGTTTTTTTAATATAACTGAGTATTTTTTGTAGGGAAAGTATAGAATGATACTATATACCTTTGATACAAGGTGATCACAATAATCTTGATCATTGAATGTGAAATTGAGTGGCTGCAATTATACTACAAATTTTCTGGAACTTTGTGACATATAACTACTATCAAATTTCACATCAAATGGTTGTAAGGAAATGTGACCACCTTGTATGAAAGGTAAATGGGCTCATTGTATACAATCCTTTTTTATTATGGCTTGTCAATTGGCCATCCCAATGTTACTCTAAAATTTATTTACAAGATTGCCTCAATAACTCAAGTCGAGTATTGTGCACAACATGACATATGTTATACATTCTACAGCTTGAGTATATTGAATTATTTTTATCTCAACTTTATCGCTATCACTTGATGAATACACTTTCTTTGATCATCTGAAGCTTTTGCAAATGGGTATCTCTTTAAACTTACAATTTATCATTCTAAATCTCATCAAAATTCTCTCTCAATAATTTTCTTGGGATAAATATAGGATCTAGAACTAGTACAAAGGAAGCTTTTCTCATGTCTTTCATCAAACTAAACCAAGATTTGGTATGGCTAATCATTTCAATATCATTTTTAGCTAACAAAATATCATATACATGTAAAATAAGACAATAAAATTACCCCCACTATTCCAAACATATAAAAAATGGTCTAACCTATTGGCTCCATAACCAATTTGTATGATTGCATTATAAAAGGTGAAATACCATTGCCTACAAAACTATTTTAGACCGTACCAATATTTCATGAATTTGTATATTTTGTTTTTTTGACATTTAATTACATATCTTTCTGGTTGCTTCATGTATATATCTTCCTTGGATTCTTCATTTAAGAAAGCTATTTTAACATCTTATTTAAATAATTGTAAATCATAATATGCAACTGATTGTAGAATAATCTTAATGGAAGTAACTTTAGCTATTGGAGAAGTGGTCTCTAAGTGATATATATCTTTCTTTTTGGTAAACTCTTTAGCTATCTAGCTTTGTATTTGTCCATGATCCATCCATTGGCATTAAGATTTGTTGTTTAGGATCCATTTGTAATTATTGACTTTTCTATCATTAGGAAGAGTAAGCAACTCCCAAACTTGATTCTTTTTAAATAAATATTGGGAACTTGGGCACAAATAAGTTCATGGTTTAGCATGAAACAAAAAAATTCACTTTAAATGAAAAATAGGAAAGTTGAGGAATAAAAAATTTTCAATAAGTTCCAGACATTGTAGCACTACTGTGCTTCAAACACGGGTTTGTTAAAGTGTTAGGGACTTATTTATTCTAGAAACATAAATTCCCCGAAGTAAACGCGCCCTTAGAGTACATCCTCATCAGCTTTGGGATGGAGATGATTATGGGTAGGTTGAGTTTTAACAGACAAGCTCAAAGCCCGAACCTCATTGATTTGAAGTTTTAAACAAGCCCAAGTCTGGAGGCCAAGGGATTGACTTGCTTAATCAGCTGCCTACACACGTAGGGTTGCCAACAAGCGGGGCTCATGCCAATCTAGACTTGACCCAGGCGAGGGCGAGGTCCAAACCCATATGATTTAAGCTCGTGTCGGAGACGCAACCCTCATGATAGGCCCGACCGATGGTCCTAGGGCCAGGCCATTATCCTATAATTCTACGCTAGAGCTAGAACTAGAGCATTTTTTCGATGCGCTTCCCCACTTTGGAAGTATTTGGGATTCTAAATTTTAAGGATGTAAGCTCTCGCTCATAGCCAACCTCAAAAAAGAAATAACAAAAATAGAAAAATTGAACACCATTTGTATACACTTCATGAAATTAAGAAAAGACCATCCAACTAGAAGAATCTAGGGATGGCAATGGACCTGGAACCGATCTGGAACCGACCTGGGACCCGTCGGGTATACTCAACACAGGTCAAGTATGGTTCTAGCATTTGGACTCGACAGGTCCGGTCCAAAACTTGGACCAAATACTATTTGGGTCCAGGTCTAAGTCCAGGCCTAGCTGGACCCAACACATACCCCGTAAACTGTTATAGATAAAATATTTTACTTCTCTATTCATTTGGGTGTATTAAGGATCCTATATAATTAAAACTAGTAGTCACCTTTAACTATTAAATAAATCACACGGCTTGAAATCTAATAGCAGGTGATTGTAATCTTGTTGCCAATAATACGGATATGTGATGGTGAAAAAAAGGGTAAAACAAAAAAAAACAAAAAAAAAAGCTCCAGTGATGGTGACAAAAAAAAAAACAAAAAAACTCATAGTTAGGGTTACAATGGGGTAGACTTAAAACTCGATAGGTACGAGTATAGTCCAATTTTTGGACCTGACGAGTCTGGTCCGGGTCCAAAACCTGGACCCGAATCTATTCAGGTCTGAGTCCGGGTGCGAGTCGGGTCCGGGTCCAACTGGACACCCGTTGCCACCCTAGAAGAATCCCAAAAATCAAATATAAAAATTTCTACCCGTTGCCACCCTAGAAGAATCCCAAAAATCAAATATAAAAATTTCTACGAAGCAGCCCACGAGTTTGTACACAATGTGCTCCACGAACACCACGCAATACTTACTTTTTCTAATGTTCGTAAAAGTCAAGACGAAAGTAAGGTCCACATGCTAAAAGTAAACAATAGTTGGCTCGCATCCTTCTCGAGTCTTCCAAACCTAGACAACTCATACTTAGTTTCTTGGTATTTTTTCTTTTCATAACAAAAACTCCAAAATAACTCTATTTTCATTTTAAATGTTGTACCAGAAAATCCATTGCAATGATGCACTTGGGAGTATAGTATATTTCTACTCCCTCAGTCAGATGACCCACTTGAGAGATTTCTTTTCAATATGAAATTTTAAGAATCATCTAAGGATTACTAGATGATTATTTTAAAACAAAAATTTAAAATTTGAGTTTTCTAATAGTTATATTTCACCTTTTAAAAATTGAACGGTTTCTATTTAATTTTAAGACATTATTTTTTTTGGAGGGCCTAGATGGTGGAATTAGGAATTTTTTTTGGTTGAAGTTAATATATATGTAGTAAAAAGTTTATTTAGAGCCGATGCTCTAAACAATCAAATTAGGGCCCACCTCAAAAATTTCACTAGAAGAAGTTGTTTTGGATGTCCAAATATTCTCAAATTGATCATCTCGACATCAAGATACATGGACATGAGAAAAGAAATGGATTTCAAGTTTTGAAAGCAGTGACTCTTGTAACACATTTTTGGACCGTCAATTTTCAAGATTTTCATAGATATGCTTGATCTACACTATTTTTGAAACTTTAAATTTTATAATTAACGATGAAAATATATTTTAAGGCTATCACATAGATTTTAAGTATTGAAACCACATTTTTCAACATTATTTGAAGGTGTGTTTTACTTTGATTGATTAGAGCTTAACTCTCTACAAAGTTATATCCCCAAAATTTGGGGCTCTAAAATTAATCATTAGTTGGTTTTAACCCGAGGAAGTAAATGAACACTATACTTCGCGGGTGTAAAATATTTTTTGGCCTTAAAAATGGGAAAATTTTGTATAGAGCCAAGGCTCTAAACAATCAAATTGGAGCCTACCACAAAAATTTCATTAGAAGAGGTTGTTTTGATGTTCAAATATTCTCAAATTGATCATCTTAACATCAAAATGTATGGACATCAAAAAAAAAAAAATAAGATTTTTAGTTTTGAAAGCTTTAAACATTATAAATAAAGATGAAACTATATTTCAAGGCTATCACAAAGATTTTCAGTATTAAAACCACATTTTTCAACTTTATATAAAAAAAAGTAGATTTTAAATTTTGAAAAGTTTAAATATTATAAATAAAAATGAAACTATATTTTAGGGCTATCACAAAGATTTTCAGTATTGAAACCTCATTTTTTAACTTTATTTGAAGAGAGGCTCTAATTTGATTGTTTGGAGCTTAGGCACTATACGAACCGCATCCCTTAGAAATTGAGGCCTGTATTTTTTGTGTTTTGGTTCAATAGAAAAACCAAGAGAGAGAAGGAGAAGAGAGTAGAGAGGGAGGATTATGTTAGAGAGAGAAATAGCGCGGTTTTAATAAACCGCTTTTACCCCGATTCCTGGTTTTAGAGTCTGCTTGTCGTTTTTCAGCGGTTTTGCAGATCCCACAAAACCATTGGTCCAAGGTGACGAGTTTGCAGATCACCTCAAGGTAGCGAAGGATTGCAATCCAAGTGCCTGTAACAAAGGTCAGATTCCCAATCTCTCTCTTATTTTGTTAGGTTTTCGAGCTTTAGTTCTCTCACTTCACTTTCGTTTCGTTTGCCTAGGGTTTGGTTTCTCTCTTTCACTTCCATTTCCTAGTAAATTGCTTCTCTCTCTGTGTATATTATTTGATTCTGGTTTGAATCTGTTCTTTTTTATTTCTGATGACAGGATCCGTGCTATAAACCCTGTTTCCAGAATGACTCATATCCTTTAATGGAAATTGGTTCTTGATCAATCTCTGTTACTGCCTTTTCAGGGGTTTTGAGCTGTTTCTTTTCTCTCTGTTACACTTTTTTTGCGCTTTTTTTCTTCGTTTTTGTTGCCTGATTCACTGGATATAGTGCTATGAAAGATGGTTGTGGGCCTTAATTTCAGAGTTTACGCGGTAATCAGAGAGAGAAAGATAGAGAGAGGGCTCAGGCCAGGAAGCCCCAAGGCAAGGGTAAAGATGATGGATTGACCCCTGAACAACGCCGAGAGAGGTAACAAAATCAATATCATCTTCATCATAATCAGAGCCTTATCCCAACTACTCGCTGTCGGCCACACGAATCCTGTATCAAGGGTCATACCCTCAGTAACACAATTGATATAGCAATTCTCATTTCATACCCTAAATAAATAATATCTAAGTTATTTGTATTGCAATGTATTTTGTATGAATTTTTGTTTTTTAAATAAATTGTACTGCACTGATAGCTTTGGTTTCAGATCCAAATTTCGATTTCCTTTATTTTTAGGGCTTTATGATTCAATTATTTGTAAATTTGGTTTTGATTGCTCTTGAATGTGAGGGTTCCTGTGTTTCTTCCATTCTTTTTTAACCATTATTTGTCTTTTTTTCTTAATGCAACGTTTTCTGTGTTTTTATTTGACCATTACTTGTTTTATTTCTTGATGCAACGTTTTCTGTGTTTTGTAATCAGGGATGCAAAAGCACTTCAAGAGAAACAAGCGAAGAAAGCAGAACAAGCTGCAGGGGGTGGTAATAGTGGGAAAAGCGGTAACAAGAAGTAGCAGGTTTTGGGGAACAATGTCAATTAGCTGTGGTCCTAGATATTGGCTCTATTGTCACGTGCATCCTGTGTTTTTGTTGGGTCTTCGTTGTTAAATGTTGTGTTCTCAGTTCCTCTGTGAATCCAGCAATGTAAACTAATAACTTCTCTTCTAAGTAGCTTATATGATTTATGCCATTTTTCTGTGTTTTTTTTCTCCCCTCCCCTGCATTGCTTATGCAAATTACAGCTTTTACTTCTTTATTGTTGAGAAGAACACCACTGCCATTATTTGATTGTTTAATTGTGAACACATCCTGCGTGTACTTTTTAATTATTTCTCATTTCTTATACATTATGGGAATGTGCTTCATATGTATTTCCTATAGTTTTCTAATTTTTGTTATTTTTTAGTAAAATTTAGGTTTCAGATAATGAGAATGAAGTAGATTTATCTCTTTTTCAAAAAAAAAAAAAGCATACGTGAAGTATGCCTCTGTTGTTCTAGACAGAGAGCCATACAAATTGGTCTAGACCAATGGAGAGATATATTCAAGAGTTTATGGAAAGAGAAAAATGATATACAAGTTTGTCAGTCGCACTAGAGAAATATAGTCCCTCATAGGAGGATCTTCATAGCCCAGTCCCCATATTGTGAGCCCTATGTGTACTTCCCTATGACAGTATGCAAAGAAATGTGTCCTAGCTAAGTATGAATGATCTCCATGAGATTGACCCCACCTAATTGAACATGTCTCCCTCAATAATCAGCTTTCTCTGATGATAAACTGACGTTTATGAGAAGATTATAGCTTCTGCCGCTGTCAAATTGTAGAATTTGGCTAGGCCTAAGATTATCTTACATAGAATCCCAGGTCTATCCCTAAGATGCCCTTAAATCTGATACAAGGGTTTCAAAGCGAGCTTCCTTCTCTTATAGCTTCATGAGATGATCTCTAGTGCAGAATGAGGCACAATGTATGGTCTTTGTTGTGAGCTGCCATCCGCTTATCTCCAATAAGATCAACTTATCTCTAACAGGGTCCTACATTCTAACACCCCGAAGCTCCTCCTCAACACAAACCATGGGGTGTCACTTTATGTGAGAACCGCAAAGCTTGAATTTGCTCATTCTTTCTTGTTCCTGTCCTTCTAAATGTGGTGATTGCAGTGAAGCATATATTCCAAATGGCCTTGCCTCTCCAGAAAGCTATTGGAGATGACCAACACGCTATCCAGAAAATTACACCAGAACACTCTATTCAGAAAATTACTCCAGACTTCTGTAAGTACTCCCGTAAGCTCCCATGCAAATAACAAATTTTGCAAACCTAGTCTCTCGATACTGCAAGTGGTCCCTGTTGATTGTGCTATTGAGCACCAGTAGCATGCAAAAGAGAGCTCTTAGAGGGTCTGGTAAATGCCTGCACCTGGTGGAGCACGTTGGGAATCTCTAGCCACTTGAAGGGGTGTGTTCACAATTTAAGCTAGTGTGGAATTTGACCACTCCAATTCACAATTTGGATAGGAGTGTCCAAAATTTAGTTGCATGCACTCATTAGTGCACCCATTAGTTTTCAGAAATTTGGATACAGATATTAAATTTGTTTTGTTAATTGTGGTTGTATATTGACTTCATATTTAATGAATACTCCACATTCTCACATTCTCACATTTATGCACTTGTTGTTCTCAAGGTGATCATTGCATTAGGTCAGAGACCAACATGTCTTTGTATCAAAGGTATAAAATGTTTGATGTCATCTTCATCCATGCATACATGAAAAGTTTTATTGTGTAACCTCTCAAAGCCTTCTTTTGTGTCCTCTTTTGCTTAGGTCTAACAGAGGGATGGGTATTGGACCCCCTACTAATGAGGTATATTCACCATTGGGATAACTTAAAAAAAATTTCAAAGAGACTTCATGGATGCCAAATAAATATAACACTTACTGCTTCACGAGATTGATCTTAATCATAAAAGTCGAAATAATTTTTCTTCTTTTAATCTTGGATTTGAGTTATTGCATATGCTGTATTCAAAACAGTGAACTTTGGTGTCTAATATGTCTCACATATTGAAGTACCTAATATGGTTCATCTCTAGAAATACAGCTTCAAATAGGGCCTTCAATACTTTCCTTTCTGTCACTTCCAAAGTTCTGTTGTTCCTTTTTATTGTTGTTTTTGGTAATATTATTTTATATACTTCCCTTAGTTCTTTTGGCAGGTTGAAACAAATCAAGTTTTCTTAGCATTTTTGGGCTTTGGTTGACCAGGATTAGCAATTTGACATTTTGAAGAAGAGAATTTGTTTTTATTGTTATTAAGAGGAAGTTTCAGCAAAGAGTTTGTAATATTTCAAGGATACTTTGGGAAAAAATATTACAAGGTTGTGATTATGGTTTGGTGCAACTGTACCCATTCTGATGGTTGATTCTTTCACAGTATAGTCTCATCCCAATCCAAGCTACAAGGGTATTTGATTTGAATTTAGTGTCCAAATCATCTCATCCAATCCAAGCTATAAGGGTAATCGATTTGAATTCAGACTCCAAATTAACAAATTGTAAAAAAGTTGGCTGCTTTAGCCTTTAGATTATTCTATTCCTTTTTTTTTTTGGGCAGTTCTGCATTAGAAGGGGATATTTTTCTATGATAGGAATGAAATTCAAGACATTATGTTGTGGCAGCCTGCCACCTTGACCACCTAACTTTGTGCTTGTACTTGCCTTGAAATGTTTGCCTGGAAGTACAAACCAACTACGACTCCTTGAAATATAGTTTGTGCATGTGCAAGAATTAGAGTCACGGAGAGGTTATACTTGAGTTTTCTCTCACGGAGAGGTTATACTTGAATTTTCTCTTTGTAATCATGGGGAGTGAACTCTTGCAAGTTGTGATTATGTTCTCTCAAGTTCATTATATGTCAAGATTATTATTTTTATAAGTAAATAATCTTTTGCTCAATCTATTTTTGGGTTGTTCAGTGGTAAGATCCGAACTTGCAACATTGTGTTACAAAAATCAACACTTTATCTGAGCAAGACTGAATTATGTGATCTAGAGAAGGCCCTATCTTCAGATTTACTCTTTGTGAAGTATCCCTTTGGTTGGGTAACGTTTGGAATCCCGTTTCGCAAATCAGGGGCATAACACCTCAATATCCATTTCTCAATTCCTGAAGATAGCTACTAGATAGAATGGATTCATGAAGATAGCTACTAGTTGGTCCATTCTATCCTGTTAAGTTGCTCATTTTCTTGAAGTAAGTTCTTGCTTACTATTTCTTGCTAAACCACCTATAGCAGCCACATCACAATGTGCTTATTTCCATACTTTCGCACACCCCAGACCAAGGAAACCTAGAAAACCATTAAAACCCCCCAAAATTGGTGTTCATGTCGTGAGGGGCACCTAGATTGTTAGAGTCAGGATGGTTAGGAATCTGAACACCCCTCCATTAATCTTTGTTCTAAAAGCAACCCACATATATTAGGATTGAAGTACTCCATTCACAGCAGGCTTGGACCTACTTGGGTACATAGTCCAACCTAATTGTATTTCAAATTTTCTAGTTAGGAACCCCACCAAACTAACCTTGTCCTAGAGATATAGGTCAGATTTTCAAGTATTTTTCAGTGGTGTATTGCATATTGAAGTCCAGAAAATGTCCTTTAGTCAATTGAACATTCATTTTTTGTCCTAATTTGAAGATAATGGAGGAAACTAAAAGTGTCCTTTTATCTAACTTTGACATAAAGGATTTACTAGATTTTGAAATGATATTTAGATCAAAATAGGAAGAAAGAAAACATTTTAGTATTGACACAAGCTCACTATATTGAGAACAACTCTATAAATTGAGTGTAGGGTTGGCAATGGACCCAAACCCGACCGGTCCTCGTCGGGTATACCGGCACGGGTTCGAGTACGGGTCCAACATTTGGACCTAGCGGGTTGGGTTCAGGTCCAAAACCTGGACCTGAACACTATTCGGATCTGAATCCGGATCCAGTTGGACCTGGCTTGTACTCAACCTGTACCCGTAAACTGTTGAAGATAAAATTCTTCACGCCATGTTCGTTAAGGTGTATTAATGATTGTATACAATAAGAACTCGTAGTCATCTTTAGCTATTAAAAGACGAATCAAACGACTTGAAATCTAATGGCGGGTGATTGTGATTTGTTGAAAATAATATGGATAGATGATGGTAAAACAAGGGCAAACAAAAAAAAAGAAAACAGAAGCCCATGGTGAGGGTGGTAATGGACCTAGCCAGACCCAGGACCTGATGGGTACATATATAGGTACAACTTTTGGAACTGATGAGTCGGATCCAGGACCAACACCTGGACCCAAATACTATTCGGGGTTAGGTTCGGGTCCAAACGGACCCAACCCATACCCGAACTGTTGCTACCCCTAGTTTAGTGATAATAAGCCAATTTCTATGTCGTTCATATGTAGTAATTGATATTTTAATGTATGCAATGAGCAGCACAGGGCCTTATATTTCATATGTAGTAAGATACTTAATAGATATACAAGTTTCCCTGGTAGAGAGCCTTGGGAATCAATCTCTCATATGTCAAAATACTTGAAACGATTATCAATTATTGTGTATATTACGTGGGTTATCCCAAGGTGTTGGCAAATATAACAATGCAAATTGGAATATGGCAGTCCAAGACTCACTATTAACATCATGATGGATATTTACATTAGTAGATGGTGCGGTATCATCAAGGTCAATTAAAGAAATTGTATTTGCTGCTCAACAATAGAGTCAGAAATCTTTGCTTTAGATTATGCTCGCAAAGAAGCAAAATGGCTAAAGTATTAATATATGACCTACCCATATACCAAAACTGATATCGACAATCACAATACATTCTAATAATCATGATCCTATTGCAAGAACTTGTGATAATCATGATAATATTGGAATAGTATGTAATCTACACATTGCATGCAAACATAACTTCATAAATGTTAATAAGATATAGAGTGGTAAGCATAGAATAGTGAGATTAAAGGAAAAAATGGTCTATCCTTTGACAAAAGGCCTTGCAAGAGATTGTTAGAGAAAATTGGTAGAGCACGAGATCAAAGAAGTGATGCCGTGAGATTGGTGATCGCAGAACTTGGATTTTTCTTGCCCTTTTGAGAGAGAGTGAATAAATTATTTTTGCTCACAGAAGCTCTGTGTTTTTTTTTTTTCTCTTGCTGTTATTACGTTCTTCCTCTCTGTAGCTTCC